CGTCTTCTGGCGTGTGCACCTGACTCCCACTTGTCCAGCTGGCCATCGCAGGGCTTGTGACAGTCAGCACTACCAGCACACGTCATCAGCAGGTGCCTCCTTCCCCCTCAGCATGGACAGTGGGTATCATAGGTAGGGGAAGGCAATGTCTTTTCATACTGCCATACTTGGCCCAGCAGAGTCCCCCAGGTTCCTTCCCCCAGCCTGCTGTTGTCATGCCAGAGACTGGGGAAGGCAGGCAGGAAGCTACACCTTATTGCTTCTCCTCCCAGTGCTGGGACCACTCTCGTCGGAAACAGAGGCAAAGATCATTTAGGATAAGCCTACATTGCAACATAAATCATCAGTTAAGCCTTGACACAAGCCTAACCTTCCTGGCATCTATACCACAATTGCACTAACCCAGGTCTCAGACCAGGGCTAGAGGGTTCAAGGCAAACGTTAAGTCAGGAGCCAGGGTGCAAGCCTTTTTGCTTTGTAGTCCTTCTTGGCTTAGATTTTGAGAGTTAGTAGGAAGTAAACCAAAATTGTAGTCCTCTCTAGCCCATCAATCGTCAATCTACTCAATTGAATACCAAAGTCATTTCCCCTTTGCTAACAGCAGCAGCTCAGATCAGGATTATCCCAGTCTCTTCTGATCACTGATCTGCAAGCACTTTCCTAGATTTGCAACAGAAAGTGAACCAATCAAGACTTTTGCAAAGCAAGCTGCTCCTGGCAAAGCACAGCACAGGTAATAATGTCTTCGCAAAGTACAGCATGGTCTCTGGGCTACAGGAGCCTCATTTCCAAGGTGTGAAAAGGTAGTGGGAGATGAGAGAAGAGGGCAGGGAAGATGGGCTAGGGACTTCGGGATATATGATTACTTTGATGCGGGTCTGTACACTGTAGAGCCCTATGTTTGAGCATGGTTTAAGAAGAAATCTGAATGTAGGGCTTAAGCTACAATGTATATGGTCAAGCCCAGGATTCCTCAACATGGGTCAGCTGGCTCAAGTCCCACTAAACTTGGGCTACATTGAACTGTAGATAATACTCTAAATGATTTTTCCAAAGTCACACAGAAAGTTTGAGACACAGGAATGAATCCATATCTCCTGATTTCAGGTCTTCTGTTAAAGCAGAGGACATCCATGCACCATACTATAATTTATTGAAAGCACTGCACAACACAGTTCACATGCAGAATTATTTGTCTTGCCAACCAAAGTGATGTAATTCAGGGGATCAAACGACATGGCCCAAGAGGTTTTTCTGTTATTCTTACTATGTAAGGAGATGGAGGGTTTTTTATTTTCTCTCAATGTAAGCTAGACAATTGGCATATCAAAACTATAGCACAATTTGTTAATTGTAAGTGTACAAGTGGTTTGATGGAAACTCCTGAACTGTTAGCAACACAAATATTACATCTCAATACTTAAATTAGACAAGGACTTGAAGAGTCCTGAAGGCCTGAGTCAAGTTTCTGGAAAACGTTTCTTACACTTGCGATGAACTCCCAGATTTTAGATGAATCTGAATCAAAACGCCAGATCTAAATAACCCCATTAACTGTGAAAATGTCTGAGTCTGGAATCATGTCTCAGGCCAAACTCTAAATGTATTTAAAACCTTGATGTCACAATAATATGAAAATTGTTATCTATTTAAGTTTAAATTTAATTTTAAAAAACAGTCTATAAACAGTATAAAAAATTCTCTTGCAACCACAACTGTCCTTGGGCAAGTCACTTCACCTCACTTACCCCATTTGCAAAATACTTGCCTTCTTCACAAGAGTACTGTGAAAATTAGTCAATGTTTATGTAGGGTTTGAACAGAAAAGCATTGAAGCATTTTTTTTAAACACTATCACTGTATTGTGGCTGAAGCCCTCAGGATTTGGCCCTGGGTGGTGGGACAAACTTCAGCTCCTGTCCCCAGAAAGTCTAATCCAGTCCTGGTGATCCCACTAAAAAGGAGGCCATGACCCACTTTGGGATCCCAACTCAGTCTGAGAACTGTGGCCTTCTGCTAAATAATCTGTTCCACCTCGTATTTAGCTGAAATATTCTGTCTTTTCCAGGTCTTAAAACAATCTCACCAACCTTGCCTCTTTAATCTAATGCAAACATTTAAATCACTTTTTTAAAACTGTATTTAAAATTACTACATTTAGTTTCTATATACCTACAGATTAGTATAGGCACAATTATTACAATGCACATTATGTATAGTTAGGGCTTAAATATAAATGTGTACACTGAAGAGGCCCAATCCTGCAAACCTTTTTCACCCATGTATCCCCACTGAAGTTTTGGAACTACTTAAGTGAAGGTTTTATGAGAATCTAACAACAGTTCTCCTGGATAAATAAAAATATAGTTTAATCAATGTATTTACCAGAGACCAAAGTTGAACCACAAAAGCAAATTACATTTAAAAAAAAAACACACACAAATATATTAATCTAAGGTGAATTTAGCAAAAGTAACAAAATTCAAAGTTATCACTGACTGTACAAAATTAATGTCATGGTAAAGAAAACAAAAAACCCTAGCATCAGCTCAATTAAAAGGGTTCTTATTTTGAATATCCATGTTTTACAAACTTTTGTCCCTCATCAACACCGAGTTGCTTTCTTTTTGTAATTTTCTTTTACTGATAAATACTTGCTCTTTCAGAAGTTACATTTGCAAGTAACATTTCATCTTTTACACTGTTCATTTGGCAATTAA